ATATTTTACCTTCTTGAGAGAAGGCAGAAAGGCAATTGAATCAATTTAGGGAAGTGACCTACATTCTTAATACTCCCATTTTTCTGCCGCTTATTTTCAGACATCCACAAGTTATTCATATTTTATACCTTGATGCTCTTTATATTGTATTTTCATGACAGTTATGATGTTTATTATTTACACCTTGCACCACCCATTTGCTAGGCAGCCTAAAAGCAGTGAAGAGGTAACACCTACTCTGATGATGTTGATGCAATCTGGTCTGCTCCGAGGCAGAGCAGAGACCCCCTCCATTTATCTGGGCTTCCTTTGGATACCAGAGCTGCTTGTGGAGATCCCCTTATTAGATCAAATAATAAAAGTCAAGATGGAAAATGAGGATGAAAGAGCAGATGACAGATATATGGATAGTCAGAGTTTGAATGCTATTTTTATGCTGTTTTTAATCACAGCCAAATTCCCACCTTTTGTTATTAAAACTGATGGTTCTGCTCTGATTCTTGTTATTACTCCTTGGCTTGAAGGTGCTGTTTGCCCTTTACAATTTTGAAAACTTAGGTTTCTTCAAAAAGAAAAATTCCAGAAAAAGGCTGAATGAAATGGTTCAAAGCAGAAGCAACACTTCGCCACTTCATGCCTTTAAACTACTAATATTCATGAAAAACTCCTATTCAATACTTCTATGCTGTCATTTGGTTGAAAGAAAACTGTTTCCTAAATGGAAAGTTCACTCAATGAGATAATTCAGTGTGCAGTTTTTCTGAATAATACTGATTTCTGTATTAGTGTTATCTGTTCATAATGAACACTATGAATAGCTATTTTTCTTCTTCTTTATTTTTATTATCCAGTTAAGGAAAGACTTACATAATTTAACCTGTAATCACTGGAGAGGGAGCCAGAACAGGCAAAGAGGCTTGTGAGAAGAAGTCCAATTGTTTTTGTCTACTAAAGTCTGTGTTATTGGACTAGTCCTCAGACATCAAAGTATTTTGATGACGACTGAGAATATTGTGATACTTTTGTACTTTATTTTGCAGAAATACAGTGAATATGCATTTTTTTAAAAAAAGTATTTTGTTTCACCACAGCAGAACAATAAACCATATCCACAAAAGCTGAAGTAGTTATTCGTGACCAATTGAAGCACAGTGACAGCTCACAGAAAAATGAAACAAATATTGAGCTGATCTAAGAATAAAAAAGATTTCTGAAAAATTAGCATCCTTACCATTGATTTTTGCAAAAATCATATGCTTTTCTGAAACAGGAGTCTGTGATGGCAAAAGAGTTGGGCTGCTCCAGTGGTGGCCCTGCGTCACTGCGTCATGCTCGTCCTCAATCTGCTCCAAAGCCCTCTGTGAACAAGGAATGGGTATAATTTCTCTGAGAGACTCCTGCCCAAGCATTTTTACTCTGTTCCTTATAAAAAAAAAAACAGTTAATGAGTACATTTCTTCAGGTGATCTCTTTTTCAGAACCCGAAAGCCCATAACTTTGGCCCACTGGCTAATGAGGAGGAACACGCCAAAATGCACCATCAGGGCTCTTCCATCAGAGAACTAGAACCTGAAATATAAATGCATGAAATGATCAAAGGTACGAAATCATTCTTTACTCTCCACAAGCTGTTGGGGTATGGATATGCCTTTGTATACTGAAGTATCATCCTAAAAAAGGCAAGTATTCCTCCCTTCTGCTCTGCAAATTACACGTGCTGCTTCTATTATTTTCTGAAGAATCAGATTCATGAAAACAAAGGCATTGGGTTGTTGTACACTAGACTAAAAACCAAAGGAAAACACAAACCCTAATCATTGTATGATCATTGTTCTGCTTTCTTTTCTTCCCAGACGAGGTACAAGATAAGATGAAGTGCTTCCCATTTGATTTCACTCATTTGTGTATCTTGAAACAACAGTGGGGAGAGAGCGAGCTGTGTTTTAGCTTAACACAGGGTGTGAATGCTGTTCTTTTGTTACAGCGAGCACACCGGGCACCTCTCTGCAAACCACGGATGGAGGTCACCACAAGAAACGGGAGCCTTTCCTGTGAATCCAAGGCTTCAAAAACATGTCACTGGACCATGTGTGTATTCCCTGTTGGATAAAATACCCATGCAAAAATACACAGAGGAGGGTTTTGGCATGCATAAATGCGTAAGCTTAGACTCCCAGAGAATTTTTGATCATTAAATGAAGATGTCTTTTTCCTCTGAAGGAGTCTGTCCTGCGAGGAGTGTGCGAGTCTCTGCAGGATGATGCTCTCCTTGGCCCCATGAGTATTGAATCATTTCTGTGCCTGGAAATGTGACCCGAGGGACAGCTACTTTGTGAGGATAATGCTCGCAGGAACTGCAAGGAAACAAACCCAGTCTGTCATCTTTAGCAGCCTCTAATTAGAGCGCTGGTGCTTAAAAGGACTATCTGCTGCTTGGGTTAGCCATGCTCGATTTTTGAAAAGAAGCAGCAAGTTATGCCTCTCTCATTCCCTTCCTTGGTTGGTGAAGGTAGATGGACACTTCCACATAACCTTAAGAACACATCCAAGTGATGGGACTCGAAATTTCCCAGTTGCCCAGAGCTCCTGGGCTTTCCTCCTAGGTGCTTAATTCTCTTCCTACACTACCCCGGGAGTCCAGGCATCTAATATTTGGAATGAAGTGCCAAAATGTCAGGTCTCTGGAGACCTTCAAGGAATTTTTTTTTACCATTCACTCCCACCCTAAGGTGGGAAACAAGGAGGTTCAGAAGGCCCCAAGCATCATTGCTCTTGCCTAGTATTCCTCCTAGCTCTTCTACAGTGGGTTGTCCAGCGCTCTCCATCACTGCATTAACAGAAACTATTTTGCAGTTTCCCAGTACGATAACCCCAGCTTGCAGGGTGGGCTGCTTCGAGTGCTCTCTTTCCCACAAAGAACAGAGAACACCAAACATGCGTATCCACCAAGCAATTTTTGGCCTAGGTACTAGTCTGAAATGCTGCTGCCCATTCCCAGCTGTGACTTCTGGCTAGTTTTTAACTCCCTATGTTCATTCCTGCTGTTTAAAATTAATGCAATATGAGACAGCCTGATGCAAGGCTGCAGTGCCATGTGCATCTTCTGTATGGACCAGGAAGGTAATTGCTCCAAATATTCACTACCCACACTATACTACAGTAACTTTCTGGGGAATTTTAACTTTCCCTCTTACTTAATGGTGTGGAGACTGTGAAAATACTTTGCAATATTTTTACGCATGTTCTCCATGGTTTTAGTTTCCCGTGGGTTTTTGGATGAACACCTGGGGGGAGATGGTGTCGTCCATCGTATTTAGGTCTGCTGTAAGTTTGAAGCTTTGTCTTGGAAGACTGGGGGATGGGGAATATTTGCAACTCCCTGTCTATGCAGCCTTCAGTTCATCTGTCCTCCAGAGCTGCAGGAAGCGATGGGAGGCTTCATTTCATCATTACTGGCAGAAACCATGTTCAGGGACACCCCTTGATTAAAACTTGAAGAAAAAAAAAGGAAAAGGGATCCTTTTTTCTCCAGTTGTAGGAGGTCATTAGAAGCATAAATCCTAATCCACAATGAATTTCAGTCTTTTTCATGAACCCATGAAGTTAAACATTAGGGTGATGCCTTTTAGGCAAAACTTAGAGCCAAGTAAGATTGTGCTTCTGTGAATAGGTAGAAACTACTGTTCAAGCATTACCTGAGAAAGCTACGTAAAGGCAAAATTTCTGTCCTGTTTCAAATAAACTAGAATTTTGTAATTTGTTATGGATTTGTACTCAATAAATGGATGATAAGCTCTTAAGAAAAAAAATAACATCCATAAACAAAAACAGAAGAAAGGGTGTGAACTCTTCTGAACTTAAAAGAATGTAATGAAAAGGTCAGTAAACCAGTGGAAAGACTCCCAAAGAGCTGAAGGGCCCTAGATCAGGCCTATGAAATGCCCAATCCGATGGGACTGTTATAAGCAGCAATTTTGCAATATCAAGAAGTCAAAATTAAAAAAAAAAGACTTTTTTTTTCTGAAACAACCTATGTTACTCCCAACAAATCTAGTGCTAAAACTTCTTCAGCGATTTAGTTAAACTGAATTAACAGTGTTTGAGACTCATTGTTTTTTAATGGTTTCATTTATGCTTTTAAACACTGCGATTAGCCTGATTTGAATAGAATGTTTACAGACTTCTGTGGGTTTATTTTCAGATAATTCACTTCAACCACCAGACACAAAATAATCAAACCTGACAACTCAAAGAAAAGAAGCAGTGGCAGGTATGCAAAACACTAAACAGAGGGTGGGTAGACAATATAGTCTAAATAAAATGCCATTAATATAAGAGCATAGCATGAGATTTCATAGTAAATTTTTCATATTACATGTTAAGCTCACGATATACATTCACACTGACCAGAAGTAGCGCAAGGGCACCCCATCATAGCAACACGGCAGCTTCAAATGAGATAAAACTTTGGAAAAATATGTTTGATAAAGATGAATGATTAAATTATTATATTTGTGTCTATTTCCCGTGTATGTTATTACTGCCAATAAACCAACCTGCTGAAGTTGTTCATAAGGGTTTGTCAGTCCAAACACTGCTGTATTTTATGTCAGGAGTGTTGGGGTCCCAATCGCCATTTCCACGGGTGACGGTGGCTGTCTGTGCGGTTGTTGCCCGGTGCGGGTGTGCGTCTGCCTGTTGCGGGGGTGTGTGGACCCGGGTGTCACCAGCAGCTGCCGCACAAGCAGCTGCAAGGCCACGTGCTCCCGGCTCATCCCTGCGTGCTGGGGGGCTGTAACCGCAGGGCTTTCCTCTTGGGAAGTTGGGGATTGATGACACGTTCAGCCCTCTCCAAGGGCCTGGACTGAAAAGGAGAAAAAAAAAAAAAGGAAAATCAAGGCAGGCAGGCAGGCAGATGTCTTTTCCTGCAAGAGTTTAGTACTTCCAAAGCTAACTTTTAAGGAGCTGCAGATGTCTGGATAAAGCATCTCCTGGACACCATGCGGCAGCCCCCGCTGTCCCACCAGCATCTCCCGCTTGTCGCCCTCCTCTGCTGCATCCCCGTGCTGCCCATCAGCCCGGAGTCTGCTCCGCTCGGTAAGAAATCAGTACTTTAAATTATTAGTCACTGGTAGGGATAGAGTTCATGTGCATTTGATATGGAGATGATCTTGTTTTCATTCACTTTTGAGTGGGGGTTAGAATAACAGAGGGCTATTATTAGCAAGGGTATCCAAAACCGAATGGAAGTAAGGTTAAAATAAACAACTTATAAGACAGCGTGAAAGCTCACAGCGATAACCACCCATGCTTGCAGGACACTAGGCTTATTGCCCATTAGAGGGTTTTGTTTGACTTTTCTTTCTCATTTAGCTGGAGAAATTGCAAACCTCTGAAGAGTCTTACTTTCTACTAGAAAATTTCAAGTGATTTAAGGAATATTCATATCATTTTCCTATAAATGGAATATATGAAACAAGCCGTAAAGGAAGAAAAAGCTTTAAAATAAGAATCTATTCCTCATATACATTCACCATATACACCATACATTAGGGCAGTGTTATAGATCAGTTAATTACACATATAATAATACAGTTATATAGTCTCTGGCAGTAAAAGGTTCAAGAGTAATTTTTCTCCTACTGTACATATTAAATGCAAGTCTTGTTCCACTCCAGCACAGGATTCAAAGAGCACGTAGATTTTACATATGTAATTTGTTTACAGAGCTTTATTAATCCACTGCAGGGATACGGAGAAAATCATGTTAGACATAATTCAGCTAATAAAAGCAGGGTAAAAAAATAATGGGAAAAGCCATACGACCAAAAGGTAGCACTGTGAGTGATTATGGTTATAGCCTAAGTAAACTATGTGGTGGCACTCCCCCTTAATGGAAATACATTGCAATATTTTACAAAATTTAATTAGAGTGGAGTTTCGACTAGTTTTAAGGAACTGTCAGCCAGCACTCGTTAGCTGCCTGAAGATAAAACAATTTAAAGTGCTCTTCCATTTTAATATCAAGGGGTCACCCCAAAAGGTTTGCAGGACCAAATACAAGGCAAACGACCTTATCCCCTTTATCTGAAAACTATGCCTTTAATTTCTAAAACCTTTTGAAGGCTTGCCAGTTTTATGGAGTGTAGCAGCTACTTATCTGATAGAACAAGCTTTTCATCAAGGGGAAATGACCTTTTAGCTCCTAGTAACAAAGTAACTGTTTTTCCACTGTATTTGCATTACTGAAGGTAATATCCAAAGGCATATTTTTCTAAACTGGGGATGCAGACCAAGAATTAAGAACTAGCTTGTTGTCTCTCAGATGATTCAGAAGAATTCTTAAAACTTGCTTTTTATTTTTTATTTTTTTAAGTAGTGCAAACTCCAACTAAAGGAAACTGCTCAAAAGAAAAGTTTCCATTCTGACAGATTGTGAAGTGACAGTATAAGGATATTTAAAAAGCCATATGCTGTTTACTTTTATGCTCTGAGTATAACAAATCTACTAATCCCACAAGAATTTAGCTGTGAACAAGGAACGTCTGACCAAACAGCTTTTTGCAGATGCCTCATTAAGGAGAAGGGGGTGGAAAAGTCCTTTAAAGAGCAAAGAAGAACTTTCCTGATCATCTTCCATGGTCATATTTTAGGGAACGAGGCTCCTAGTGCCTGCTACTCCTCTCATTATTTGGGGTGTTTTACATCATTTCTTGTGCCTGGGGAACATGAAAGGGTTACCACAGTGTCCATAGCTGCTCTGTGGTAGAAGATTAAGCAAAGCAACTCAGTGAATCATAGGTGTGGGTGGGCTAGCACAACACAGAGCTTGTCAGACTTTCCTTGCATGAAATTCTCTAAATAAGTCAATCACAAGAAAATGACAATAGCTATTTTTAATTTTTTTTTAATAGATGCATTGTAGACAAAAGTATTTATCTTAAAGCAGTCGGTTGCTTCAGCACCAGGATGGAATTGCTTCCTTCTGCCTGAAGTCTGTCCATTGCACAGCATAAAAAAGGTTTTGCATTTTGGTGTGAGCTCTGTGCAGAGCTACAGCCCTCCCTGGAAGCCCCTGAAGTGCCCTGGACCCCACTGCAGGGTGCTAAGGATAGAGCAAAACCCGACACAAACCACTGTTTGTAAAGTCATTCCTGTGGATTTTCCTCAACTCTCAACACCTATGACAGATGCGAGTCTATTCTGAGGTGCAGGGTGAGCAGAAGAAAGAGGCCTGGGAAGTCACTCCTGGACTTCTCAAAGACCCAGATCTCTGGGATTTAATTTAGTAAAGCGAATGAGAATATTCTAGCAGAATAAAGACTACTCAGCACCTCTTGTAATTTTAGGGTTTAAACCCTATTTTTGCTTTCACTGGATGAGTAGATGTAGGGCCAAGGAGTACGCAATGTGCATTGCATGCCACTCTCACGCAACCCAGGGTCTCGTTTTTGAGATTCCACTCCAAAATCCAAGCAGAAATACCAAAAGTCCATGAACTTCACATGCTTTAAGCAAAATCTATGTGAATCCAAAAAACCCTTCCCTATCGGTATTTTAAATTCATTTCTACTGGGGAGCCTTCCCACCTCCCTAGGTAGATGCCAATGCTGTCCCCAGTGATAAGCAAAATCTATGTGAATCCAAAAAAACCCTTCCCTATCAGTATTTCAAACCCATTTCTACTGGAGAGCCTTCCCACCTCCCCAGGTAGATGCCAGTGCTGTCCCCAGTGGCCACCCACCCCTCTCCATCCTGTGGTGCCCAGAGGAACCCGTTGGCTCTGCGGGCTGCAGATCCCACTGTGGCCGCACGGTCCCCGTTCTGCAGCCTGCTAACAGCTTGCAGGGCTCAAGCTCTGGGGCCATGAGCGCGTTTTGGTCTGGGACATTCCAGGGACTTTAGCAATTTCACTGGGGATTATTCCGGCTCTGGGTCCTCACTGCTGAGGAAAGTCCCACAGATGTTTATAGCCCCGGACAAACAAGTAGTGCAGGGCACTCTCTTACAGAAAGAAGATCCAGACATTCCGGCCATGGCAAATAAACAAGAACAACTGACAAAGGCAGACCACACTAATAATCTTTACAGCATCTTGCTCTTCTGATACTGCTTTTAGCAATCAAATTTTGTCTCTGGGTTAATATTTTATTTCTTTCTTATTTAAACTGTAATCAACACAATGTAGCTCCACTGGCATCATTAATTGGCATGAATTCCATCGGCTGGAATTAATCCAGCTTGCATTGTTCAGACTAAGAGTGAAACTGGATCTTATCTGATCACATACAGTCGAAGCAAAGCCTGTAGTTAGGGTCGTACAGTGATTTCTGTTTGCTGATAACTTTTCCATTCTTTTCCCTTCTTATCTGAAAAAGAACAAGCTTGTCCTTGCTGCAGAAATAATTCCTTTATTAGGAATACACAAATGGTGGAGCTTTTACAGTCTGAGGAAGAGGGGAATGTCCTTCTCCTAGTAGCGTTTCTGACATTTTTGAGCAGCATCAATATGTCATTACTGGATTTCAGGGCTTTGAAATTTGGTAGGCAAACAATTTTTCTCTCGCTCATTTGCCTTTCAACATTCTGATGACATTTAATCATTATTTGCAAGGTTATACAAGCTTACAAAATACGTTTGGTACGAGAGGGCTCTCTTCCTGTTGCCTCTCTCAGGGTTCGCCTATGTCCCTTTGAACACAAATGTGTATCTTGTTTAAACTTCTTAGCAGCTATTTATTACTCTGCCCCATACTAAAGTTGAGGATCACTTTATTAGATGCAGTAGAGGACATTTGGGGCCAAAATATTTGCTTTAATAGCCCAGTTCCTCAAAGTCATTTTGTCTCCAAATGCTAAATCCTAAGAGGCACTGTATACATTCAGCTTCCTTTGCAATCAATAAGAGTTGCAAGTACTCAAGACAAATCAGTGTTTGTTCCTAAATTGACAAGACAAATTGCAGTGGAGAGGAAACATCATCATTCTGGCTTACAGATGGGATAGAGACGTGAAGTGGCCAGCTCAAGGTCACACCAAAATCCTTGGGCAGAGACGAGACCCGCGATGAAGGCTCACGAGCCACCCCAGCCCTGGTAACCACAGCAAAACATAAATGCACGACCAGACCAGGGCAGGATATAGGAGCATAAAGAAATGTCCAACCTTTTCTCATCTTGCTCAGGAACTCTAAGGTCAAGTGGCCGTGCACTCAGATTCAGGAGATTGATAAAAAAAAAAAAATGACACTGGGTTTCAAACAGCTTGTCACTTTTCAGCTTGCCAAAAATTGAAGTTTCCCCCAAATTGCCCTTGATTTACATTAGAAAAGGATATAATCATTTCTAAAATGTGCAATGTACTTTATCATACCAATACGTTGAAGAAGGATCATTCCTGCACTGATTACATTAGAGACTGAAGGGTTTTTTTTTTTTGCCATTTCTCCTACTTCTTTTTAGGCCACATCTGCTGTCTAAAATAAAATATTCTTGCTTGTATTAGCTGGCTTTGGATTCGACTCTTCATTTCCAACACTTTTCCTTAAATGTTTTTGTGACCAAGCTGTTCACAATCCTGAGGATATTGTGAGAAATGTCATTTAGTGTTTTTTTGGCGGTGCTTGGTCTGTATTTCTTTAAATAAAGAACTTGTTGGTAAATCTTCTCTAGGCAGTCAGACTGTAGATTTTTAAAATTTTGTCTATAAGTTAGTAACTTTGGACATGCCTGGGGTTTTGTTTTGCCTTTTTGGCTACTTTGCTCATGGATAAAGTATCCGTCTTGCCACTTTGCAGGTGGAGATTTAGTACTGACTGCTGCTGGTGCCCAGTTCACTATAAAAACGCATATAATCAATAACATTTGGTTGGCAGCATATGTTACTTGCTGCATGTTTATTAAGTTTTAGTTTGAAGTAGTTCAGTTTAACTGCAGTTATGACCTTTATTGGTTTCTTTGTGGCTGCTATGCTGTGTGTTTTGCCCTAACTAGAGGCTATTTATATTTTTCGTGAAATCCAAAATATTTTTCATCTGACTTTGAAACACCAGTGAAACCATGTGCTAATGCATGGGATTGTTTGTACAGCTTTTCTGG